TTTCAAACTGACATCATTGTTCTTCAGCATTCTGGAGAGGTCCCAGAGAGCCGACCTGCCTAAAGCAGTGTCTCCTGGTTTCCTGACTGCTGGTACCAAGAGTTGATTGCTGATCCAGGACAAAATCCCTGACAGCTGTAATCCTTTCTCCATCTATCATAATGTTGACTGTTGGTCCTGTGGGGAGGACCTTTGTCTTTTTGAGCAGTTACATTTACGAGGATGGAAGCTAGTGAGCCACCTGTCTGACACGTGTACAGAAGACTGTTCCAGAACAGGCTGCAAGTGCATCATCAGCTGGGCTATCATCAGCTGGATAAACATAGACCTTGATGAGAGAGGATGGATGGTCCGTCCCAGATCATCCCAGAGTATCAGAATAATAACAGTGATTACTGTTGTTGTTGCCAAATCACCCGACTCGTGGTGGCCCTGTGTACAAGCGAACATCTTCACAAGCTTCACGATCATTGGCACGTTCAAATCCGTTGTTGCAACCATGGTATGGTGTCTTGTAAGATGGGGAGCTCATCTCCTCTCACTCTACTGGTGAACCCACAGCCATTTAGTTCCTCTTGCCTCAGCACCCCTGGAGGTCTGTTGTGTAAGGTTCCCAAGGCTCTAAGTCTTTACAGAACCAGACAGTCTCGTCTCCCTGCCACGGCACGGCTTGGGGGTTCAAACCACCAACCTCAGGGTTGGCAGACACGTGCTGTCACTCCCCCCCCCGACTCCTCCTTGCATTATTACCAGCTAATACTCAACTGTGAACCAATCACTGGTTTCTTCTTTGTTTTCTTACAAAATTTTATTTTTTACATGGCCTTGCCTGTAGGGCTTTCCTAATGCCAAGTAGTTCTGTGAATATCGTCTTTGTAGATGAGATTCATCGCCGCTGTCACGTTCTGGAGCCAGGGAGATTAATACCAATGCATGTATGTATGAGGCAGCTCCGGTGACTTACCCCACAGGGAAGAGTGCTGCGAACCCAGCCCCTCCAGAGGAGAAAGACGGGTCATCTCCTCAGGGGACTCAAAGCCCTTAGACCCTGCTGGAGGGTCAACTAGGACGTGACTTCAGTTCTGACTCGAAGGGATGAGTGCGAGTATGTATGTCTAAGTACACAAACCCACTGTTGTCAGTTCTGACTCCTGGAGA